AATCCTCAAACCCAAAGACTCCAGTCGTAATTCCCATCGTGTCTCGTGCGCGATAATGCTCTTCAAATCAATGACAAGCCGCAACGAATCCCTACGAGTGATCAGCGCCGTCCCGTATGTGGCTCTCGAGCCGCATGCCAATCTGCTGGGCCTGGGCCTCGTCATAACCTGGTGGCGGCTCATTTGGTCGCTGGTTCTGGCTCGCTGAGCTGGCAGATCGTGGCGGTGAAGCAGGTAACGGGGCGCTCAGGTTGGGTGCGCCTGTTGTTCCCTCGGCTCGCGCCTCGTAAGCTGGCAGCGGCTCGTCAGGAATGTTGATCGTCTGACCGGTCTCCTGCTGTAGTCGCCTGACGTGCTCCATGCGCTCTTTGAGCTCTTCGAACCTCTGTCCAAACTCAGTGTGACCGCCCTCGCGGAAGCTGAGCTTCAGCTCAAGACGTGGAAGGTCCGGAGGAACGCCGCCTCCCGGGCTTGGCCGTACAATCGACGACCAGTACCATGCGCCGAAAAGGGGCGAACCAACATAGCTATCCTGACAGTCCAATATCCATGCTTGGAACGACTTGAACTCTTCGGTAGGTTTGGAAGGGATATAGATCACCTGGCAGAGACAGCAGATTAGCTCAACGTCATTTTTTTTTTCAAGGGTGGCCAGACTAGACTACGTACTCGTCTCGTAGTGATGTAAGCGGTGCCATCGGCGCTCTTGTGTGAAAATGGCGTTCGGCCCTGCTGGAGGGCCTTTGGAACACTTAATTCGAGGCTGATCTTATTCGTCCTATGCCTTATGCGTTCATTGTCGAGGGGAATAATGTTGCCATTGTCCCTGATCATGACCCAACTAGACTGGTGATTAGAATTCAAGCTGGCCTGCGCAAGTTCTCGTTCCCTCTGCACCCTCCGTGCAATGTGATATGCGTGCTGCTCTTGAAGATACTGGTCCGTCATGTTGAAGATGGTGTGGCCAACTCTGTGCTGAAGCAGCTTAGGCGGAGGAAGGACGGGCCCGTAGCGGGCTGGTCGACGGCGGGGTATCGCAAGATGCCGGAGGCTATGTCGGATGTCGAGACTCGAGCAACTTGGTGTGCAGTGAGAGGGGGGAAGACGGTAATGGTGAAGGACGAGAGCCGCGGTGGCGTCGGCGGCGACGGCGGCTGCGACGACTGCGACGACGACGACGACGACGACGACGACGGCGACGGCGACGGCGACAGCGGCAAGGAGGAAGCAGAGAGGGCAGGACAAATGGGAACAGGGGCGGCGGGTATGGCAGGGACGTACTTTATTGACATTTTGAAGGTGGAAGGTTCTGCGACAGAGCTTCCCCTAGCAGCTTGGTTGTAGCCAGCCGGGCCAGCCAACGAATCGAGCGGGCGGCAGGAGAAGGGCGCCAGTACACTGTGGACTGTGGATTGTGGGCAGCGAAGCTTCGGAGATCCCAGGTTATGCTAGTGGTGGGGTGGGGAACTGGCCGCAAGTTGCAAGGCCTGGTACTGGGTTCTGGATGCCGGCTGCTGGGTGCTGGGTGATGGGTGCTGGGCGTCGAAGCTGTGACCTGCCTTGACTTGTTTTGACTTGGGAGCGAGACGGGGGGA